GACTCTTAAGAGTCTTCTCCAGCTCCATAGTTCAAAGGCATCAATTCGACAGCGCTCAGCCTTCTTTATGGTCCAGTTCTCACAGCCATACATTACTACTGGAAAAATCATAGCTTTGACTACAGCTGCTCTAAAGATTGGAACAGAACTTTTAATTGTTTTGGTTTCAGTTTTTACTCTTTCTTCCTTCTTTTCCAGAAAATCTCATTAGGAACTTTGTACAACGTTCTCTCCACAAAGCCTGTCCTCAACAAGGTAACTTTTCTGTACTTGTTTGATGCATCCTAAAAGAGTCATATTCAGCCTTGTCTATCTGCTTTTGAATTGTTCCAGTTGCTTTTAATCTAAATATTGTTTTTGAGTACTTTGGTTCTGCTTAACCCATGAAGCCATAGTAGCTGAATGGGAGTCAGCAAAGCTTGTCTTCTAACTGGGGCAGTAGATTATTTGCAGCTGGAGGAACTTTTTTTCCTAATTTTCTATATATAGCCGTATGTATGTAAAAATTAGAAAAAAGGTGCCATTTTATATATTTGGTAGCTACAAAGCTCAGGGACATACTATTGGATGTAGTTTCATGCTCTTTTTTGCTGACCTCTTTGAGTGTGTGTATGCATGCTTTATATGAAGAATCCCATTGATTCAGGTCGCTGATTGTCACTTAATTTCACATGGCGAAGTCAGCAAAAGGTACCTGAAAGTTTTCAAACTGTTTCTCCAGCTGTAGTTTGTGTGTTCTTTGCCTTGAAAGCTATGTGACTAGTGTTCATGCGTGCTTTCAGCCAAAGATCACTGTATTCCACTATTTTTCTGTTGTACCATTTTTGGGGTGCAGATGACACTGAAAGCCCCCTGTAAGCCACTTTTTTCCTCCAGGAGGAAAACCTAGGCTGTAGAATTCTTTAGATGACTTAGACAACCTTTACTCTGAATCCTGCTGAATGTAAAGACAATCTCTTTGGTGGTGCAGAGATCACATTGTTTTTTGCTATTGTGATAAATTCTATTTTTCACAAAGACACAAATGCCACAAATCCAGCTGGGTTTGTTGTTCAGTTGTTTAGTCACTTTTGACTTTTTGTGATATAATGGATGTCATTTCCCTAGCATTATCTGTCCAGCACTGTTTTTTTAATTCAACATTTCTGATTTTAACTCAAAGTGCTTCCGGCCCAGGAGCATGATTTCTTTTTACTAAGAAGTGAAAACTTGACTATGACCATAAGCAAAGTCTGGCATGAAAGCATATTTAAATCAAGGTCTTGTTGCATGGCAAATTAGGTATATGTTCATTTAATGTTCTGCCTATCTTGCTACCCAGACATGTACAGGTAGTCCCTGGGTTAAGAACGCCTGGGTTACAGATCACTGGGTTACAGACGACCTATAGTTAAGAATGGAATACAGTATTGTACAATTAAAATTCTGGCTTACATATAAATTCAACTTAAGGACAGACCTTGGGAACCGAACTCGTTCTGAAACTGGGGAGTATCTGTACAAAAGCACAGCCCTAATGTAACATAAGCATTGAGAGGAGGGGGTTATTATTTTGAAAAGCAGTTGATTTTATCATGTTGACAAACTGACATTTTGATATGAAACTTTTCCCCTTGTTCAGTTGACCGTCTCAACCACACTGTTAGAAGTTTCTGAAGGCCATATAGAGACTTACCTGAGGGACTGTCCAGACCCCTGTAGCCCTTGGTGAGGGCCACACAGCCTGTGGAATTCAACTGATAGAAGATGATTCCTTGCTGGGTGAACAGTGGCACACAATCGCCACCGCCAAGAGCCTCTTTGCCCACAGTGTGTCTCTTGAGAAACCTGGATCTAAGGTGTTCGTAGTTCAATCAGCAAATTAACCCACTCTGCTTTCTAAATGTCTGCTTTTCATTGTGTGAAACTTAAACAGGGCGTTTGGAGCTTCTGCTTCTTCCTATTTATCATCAGTTGATCCTTGGTTAGACAGAGTTTTACTGTAGAATTTCTTAAGACAAGTGTCTTATTGCACAATTTGTCCTATGCATCTTTAGTCAGAAGTAAGTCCCGTTGTATTTGGTATGCAAGGTGGGTTTTAGGTACAGTGGGGCAAAAAAGTATTTAGTCAGCCACCAATTGTGCAAGTTCTCCCACTTAAAAAGATGAGAGAGGCCTGTAATTTTCATCATAGGTAGAGGTTGTGGACAGGTGTCTTTTATACTGATAACAAGGTCAAACAGGTGCCATTACTACAGGTAACGAGTGGAGGACAGAGGAGCCTCTTAAAGAAGTAGTTACAGGTCTGTGAGAGCCAGACATCTTGCTTGTTTGTAGGTGACCAAATACTTATTTTCCACCATGATTTGCAAATAAATTCTTTAAAAATCAGACAATGTGATTTTCTGGATTTTTTTCCCCATTTTGTCTCTCATAGTTGAGGTATACCTATGATGAAAATTACAGGCCTCTCTCATCTTTTTAAGTGGGAGAACTGAGGTTGTGGACAGGTGTCTTTTATACTGATAACAAGGTCAAACAGGTGCCATTACTACAGGTAACGAGTGGAGGACAGAGGAGCCTCTTAAAGAAGTAGTTACAGGTCTGTGAGAGCCAGACATCTTGCTTGTTTGTAGGTGACCAAATACTTATTTTCCACCATGATTTGCAAATAAATTCTTTAAAAATCAGACAATGTGATTTTCTGGATTTTTTTCCCCATTTTGTCTCTCATAGTTGAGGTATACCTATGATGAAAATTACAGGCCTCTCTCATCTTTTTAAGTGGGAGAACTGAGGTTGTGGACAGGTGTCTTTTATACTGATAACAAGGTCAAACAGGTGCCATTACTACAGGTAACGAGTGGAGGACAGAGGAGCCTCTTAAAGAAGTAGTTACAGGTCTGTGAGAGCCAGACATCTTGCTTGTTTGTAGGTGACCAAATACTTATTTTCCACCATGATTTGCAAATAAATTCTTTAAAAATCAGACAATGTGATTTTCTGGATTTTTTTCCCCATTTTGTCTCTCATAGTTGAGGTATACCTATGATGAAAATTACAGGCCTCTCTCATCTTTTTAAGTGGGAGAACTTGATGAAAATTACAGGCCTCTCTCATCTTTTTAAGTGGGAGAACTTGATGAAAATTACAGGCCTCTCTCATCTTTTTAAGTGGGAGAACTTGATGAAAATTACAGGCCTCTCTCATCTTTTTAAGTGGGAGAACTTGCACAATTGGTGGCTGACTAAATACTTTTTTGCCCCACTGTAGGTGTGTATGGGATACAGCTTTAGGAAAAGAGGACTGTCTAGAACTGGTATTGTGCAACCCTTTGATATTCAGTCTTTGCCTTCACATTGGGTGCCACCTACCTCAGCACATCAGTGTGTGTTCCCAGCCTGAAATAATGCTTTGGAGGTCTCATCACATGCACACACTTCCACCCACTTAAAGGAGGAGAGAGCCATGAGAAAACCAGCCCTGCCTCAGGGGAATAGTGTGGCATTCCTCTGAGGTTGGCAAACATACCTGGAGCTTTCCTGGGTGTTCCCTCTGACATTCTTCAAGGATTCCCAGTTAACTCTGCACCTATTGCTTTCCACCATCTTCAGCGACAAAGTTAAAGCTAAAAGTTGCAAATCTTTAACCAGTAATTATGAGAGAAGTGGTGGCAGCCCCCTCAGAAGTCAGTGGGAAGCCAAATTGCTGCTTTCCTTAAAGCTTAGTTAGCTAAGATGGCATATGAATAGTAGTAGTTTTGGGCAGTGTGATGAAGCCAGCCATGGTCCCTACTCTCTCTTGCTGTAGTGTCCTCCAGTTGGATAAGTAGAGACAACGCCATGCTGAGGCATGTCAGTGCATACTGTGCTGTGTGTTCCAGTACAGTCTCACAGTTGGTATCTTTTTAGTGATATACGACATGCTAAAAATGTAGAACCACTATCCAGGGTCATAACAAGCTGAATGCTTCAATTCTGTTAGTTGGTATTAAGAATGTGTCATTAATATGTACTTGATAATTTTGCAATCAAAAAAGAGGACAACACTACCTTTTGTGTTGTGTCTGACTTAACAGAGAAAGCAAGTGATATTGCAGTGATAAAGCACTTAAGTGTGTTGCATCTTCTGAGTAACTTCTCCTTTTCTTTCAGTGATTACTTGCATAACATTTCTCATAAGAAGTTAACCCTGTGATCCAGCTGACATATCAGTATCATTACTTGGCTGCTTTACAAATTAAACTTGGTATTTTTTT